TAGGGCGATATATGTTTCTTTTTTTTTACCAGAATCTGGATATGTTCGACCATTTCTTTATAAATGAATTATGGACTCAAATAAATTATTTATAATATTTTGAAAAATATATTTTCTTTAAGGCTTATAGATTGGTGCATGACCTTTATTGAAATTTATGAATCTTTTATTTGTTGGCCCTCTATTAGATTTGTCGATATTTTGGTGATGGGAATCTTTTAAATCTGTAATTTGTTTAATATTATTTTTGATATAATGTTAGGTTTCTTTATTAATTATATATTTTAGGAGATGATTATATAACAATTATTTGTGTATTGTATATTAATATGCCAAATATAAATATACTAGCGGGGGCCCGCTGCTTTCCAGCAGCGCGCGAGATGAAACCTATAACAGGAAAAAAATAGAATTAGAGCATAAAATAAATATATATTCCAATTAGTAATTATAGATACATATACACGATCATACTCACAGAGTCAGAAATAGACAGATCGAGCACGTGCTTGACGAAAGGCGGTTTCGGAATATTTCGAAAAAATGAATAATTATGACTTTAAGTCTTTGCCAAACATTTCGAAAAATTGTATATTGCATTAAATAAAAAACCCAATTCTTAAGATCTAAAAATGCATTGTAGATGGAATTTCTCATCAACATCTCAATATATTTCCTAAAGCACTGCGATACACAAAGCAACAATGTGTCTCAGGTGCCCGAGACCAACATATGGACATATAGTCAATGAAAGATAATTAATCTAAATAAAGGGATAATAGATCATTCTTGACCTCGAAAGATCCATCCCTCTACACAATTGTTATAATGCATACAAAAATACCATCATCCAAAAAATATCCTGGCTACAAACAAAGCCGAACTAATTTCGCTCAAACCAATAGGAAAAACGCCGTTAATCAGTCGCCAAATTCTCGCAAAACGAGTGCAATATTTCAAACAAAATAATAAAATAATAATTAAATAAATATATTTTGTATTTTCCCAAATAACATTCTTCATGGATATGTTCGTTCCATTGCAAGCCATGCCAATACGATTTCAATCAATCTAAAAGATCATATATTTTTGTTTTGGTTAAAAGATTTTATAGAAGAATAAGAAATGAATTGATAAAAAAAAAAAATAATTTATTTTAAAATTCGAATTATTAATATATTCTTTTTCGATTTGTTTTTGGTTTAGCCTTAAGAAAGGGTATCTAAATAACAAGATTCAGAATAATAATGAGATGAGATGATAAAGCTAGCCGATTTCGGACTAGCTTAAGAGATTCCCCATATAACACATCCAAAAGCCGAACCAAATCAACGACTAATATGTTTTTCTAATTTCATATCCCAATAACATACATCACCAATCTTTATCATTAAATTACCCAAATTTCAAATAATCTAATCTAAATTACCTAAAATATAATATTTTAAACCTTAATCTTAAAAAATACACACACCTAATCATAATATCTTCAAATTCCATCAAAATATCCTAGCATTCTCAATCACTAATATAGAAAAATAATTCCTTTTAAACAAAAAAAAATATAATTATCCTATATAATATCAATTAATTTTCATAAATTCCATAGGTTAACCTATATTATATCAATTTCAATCAAACCAATAAATATATAAACAACATTTAAAAACAAATACAAAAACCAAAACAAACAACAAACACACACACACACACAAAAAAACCAACACAAATGCAAACACAAACGCAAATGCAGACACAAACACACAAACACAAACACAAACACAAACACAAACACACAAATATAAACACAAATATAAACACAAAGACACAAAGACACAAAGACACAAACACGCAAGCACAAACACACAAACACACAAACACACAAACACACAAACACACAAACACACAAACACACAAACACACAAACACACACAAACACACACAAACACAAACAAACACAAACAAACACAAACAAACACAAACAAACACAAACAAACACAAACAAACACAAACAAACACAAACAAACACAAACAAACACAGACACAGACACAAACACAGACACAGACACAGACCCAGACAGACAGACACAAACCCAAACAAACAAACACAAACAGACACAAACAGACAGACAGACACAGACAGACAGACAGACAAACAGACAAAGAAACAGGTACCAGAGACACAGAGACCAACAAACAAAAGGAGACAGAGACAGACACCAACAAAGAGACAGAGACAAAAGAGACACACCTCCGGCGCGCAGCACGCCGGATTCTGATGTTGACATACCACAGCCTTCGCCTGCGCACGCGCACGCGTCCGACTCCAAACCCGAGCCGTGACGCAGATGGGCAAGAACGCGCGCGCGAGCTCTCGGCTGCGCGTGCCCCAGTTGCACACGGCCGCTGGCTAGCGCCCCCGCCCAGTGGAGCGAGCCAGTGGGAAACGGTTTGTCACGCGCTTGTACCGGCGCTGCCCCGCCCCCCTCCTTGCCCTCCACGACGGCTGTATTCTGGCCCGTGGCCAGGAGGTGGTTGCAGGTTTTCGGCCGCCCTCTTTGGACTGGGCAGCCCGGGTTGCTACCGGCCCGGTTTGGATTGGCAATTTGGATCGGTGTTTTGGAGGTTCGGGAGTGGTTTCCCATTCAACTTTAACATGATCCAGGGGTTCAATCCCCAAACCACCAATCCAAACCAGCAATTAGGGGTAAGTTAAGGCGGGTGTCAAAAAAGAGCCGAGCTCTCAAGGGCCAAGGTCCAGGCCAAGAACAGAGTAAATCTTATAGAGCCCGCGTTGGCAAGACATTTTTTGCAACTAGGCACCAACATATTTTATCAAACAATGTATACTTGTCGCATGCGAAAAGCATGCTGCCGTTCTCTAACACAAGTTGCGAGACGGGCTGGATGCGATAAGGTCACGTTAAAGTGTCAGTGAAAGGCGGTCGCCTGAGCAGGGTGAGAACGGATCCGCGGGCCTCAAAAGATCCATCCACACACGTAGTTGTTGCAAACGCAAGCGAAAACGCGATCGACCAGCAAAAATCCTGGGTGCAAGCAAAGACGAACTGATTTGGCCCAAAGCATTGGGCAAAACACCACTGGTCGCACGGCTCACAGCTTCTCGCATCGCCAAACTCTTGGAAGATGGGCCAAGATTTCAGCCAAAACTGCTACGGACAGGCAGATATATGCCCCGACTCTTTTTCTGGAAGACACAGCGGCTTCGTTCAAAGCCCGGACCATTTTTCCGAAATATCCCGGATATTTCGATAATTGCACTCCAGACCATTTTTCCGAAAGATTCCGGATATTTCGACGACAGCATTTCCCGAAATATTTGGAATATTTCGGGAAAACGGTTCCCGAAATATTCGGGATATTTCGAGCAAATGGTGCATGGCTACGATTTTCCCAAAATATCTGGAATATTTCGGAAAATTGGTCCCTACAAAAAATGAAGCCATTGTATCTTCCGGATTATGGCCGGGGTAGCCCGGACAGATTTGGGTAAGCGGTCCGTAGGAAATATGAAGCGGTTGCATCTTCCAGGGGCAGCCCGGACCAATTTTCCGAAATATCCGGGATTTTTCGGAAAAGCGGTCCGGGAAAACGCGCGCAAGTGCGACGAGCAAGTTTCACGGTTTCGTTGTATAGAGTAAATTTGTATTGATTTATGGAATCGATGTGTCGCTCCAAACATCGGTTGCGGGCCTTTGATTTGGGCCTTTGATTGAAGAGAAACCGTTCCTTTAATCGTTTGCTCGTAGCATGGATGAAAAACATATTTTCTTTCTATAGGATTATATAGACCCAATTTAAAAATCGGGTCTCGCATATGGGAGGCGACATTTGACCGTATATATATATATATAGGTGATTTGATTTGAGCCCTGTTTTCGGAACGGGTCAATGAATCTCCGTGTCTTTCATGGCATTGAATTGTAAATGGACGAGATTTTGTGTCCCGATTCTATTTTGGTATTTGTATATTCGAAATTATATATCAAATTCTGCATTATTTTATAAATCGTTTGATTAATCTAATTTGAAATTATATAATGTTTATATTATTATTTTGTTTAATTCATTATCTAATATCCATTTTAATATAAAATAAATACTAAAATAATTAACATATAATAATTATAATTTCATTTTAAAAAACATAGTTTTAAGATATATTTATTTATAGTTATTAGGATTATATGAATATATTATATTATATCAATATATTATATTATGTTAATATATTATAATATATCAAAATCACATATTTAAATTTGTAATAATATAATTCCTTTATCCTTAAATAACAAAAACATATAATTCGGTTTAACCGAATTAAATAAAACCAAAATTGGTTAAATCAAACAAACCTTTAAATAAAATAACAAAACAATATAATACCACAAATAAAACTAAATGCCAAATCAAAATAAAATCAAATATTATTATTCTAATTAATTTAATAAATATAATTATTTGTTAAATTAATTATAAATATAATAATATACCAATATTTAATTTTATTAATATATCAAATACTATAATTATAGCTAAATTATATAAATAATAATATATTCCATTTTATTTATTAATAAAATCTATTATATTCCTAATACATCTATGATTTTATATTATTTCATTATATCTCACCAATACATATATCAACAACAAATCCCATTAAATACAAAATTCAAAATTGTTTCTTTAAACAAAAATACAATCATAATAATTACTATTTAAAATTCATCTAATTATCATTTATATGAAATATAAAAAAATATTATCTATAAATTTAGTATACATATGTATAATATATTCATTATATTATAAATATTATTATAAATATATTTATATACCATCAACATGATTATTGATTTATAATTTCGATCTATATAAAATATAATATTTCAATAACTATATTCATATTTTTTTAGTATTTTCGTTTTAATAACCATAATGGATTTAGTTAAAGTTTTGTCGGCAACTTGATTTTACCCATCTGGCAAGAGAGGATCCAAGGTCGTCAGGGCAATCAACAGCGCCTCTTCCGTTCCTCGGCGAAGAGGACCGCATGGAATCGAGTGGATGCGTCAAGCAAAATCATATGTTTTATTTATTTTTTCTCCGACAAGAATGGTCTTCCCCAGAAGTGACAAAGTCCAGCAACTGAGAAAGTGAGTGGATGAGAACAAACAATGGTATTTCCCAGAATTGAAGCCTCTTCAAATGGTCGTGTCGCTTTTTCCTCACCATCCAGACAACAAACGCATCAGCCAGTGCCCATATCTTTTGAAGAATTTACAGTGGCTGCTTTAAACTCAAAGCTGGCAGTGTGGGCTCCAGAAGAAATTCAGCAGACATGGCAAAATTGATTTGCATTTTGAAAGCGTCAAGGTGCGCAATCCGCGCGGCCAGATGTGCATTTCCTGACAGGGTTCTGTTGATCTTTGAGCCAAGGCTCGAATGGTCCGGGACTTTTGGCGGGGGCAAACGTTCACGTAGCGGTGAAATAAAGACTTTGGATCTGCTTCATCATAGCCGCTCTTTGCGTCGGCGATGACCTGCACTGCGAATTCCACCTACAGGTCATACCCAGTATGTTTTGGAGTTGGCAACCTTTCTCATGGCAACCCTTTTAAAGGTTGGTTTAAAGGGACTCCAAAAGGAAAACCGCCCATTTCAATACACACCAAGGAGCCTGGTTCTTGGTTCTCCAATCAGATTTGAATATGCTCCATGCAATAGCCCACTAAGAATACGTGTTGCCTTCTGTGGCTAAAGCCTTGGGGCGCGAAATAGACAATGGCGAATATCCGTCAGGCTTAGTTCCCTTCGTTCAGCTCCAAAGTGCGTTCTTCCCAAAGCCAAAGCACAAAATGCCACGCGTGTTGCCTTCGGAAAGCTTAAGTTTGATCTGTTTGTGGCCCCGAGTTCTTCAAATTGGCCAATCCCTTGCTGCTGTCATCCATTTCGCAGTTTCCTGGGAAAGCGCAGCGTCTTTTTGACTTCGATATCTCCTGTTTTGAAGGGCACCCCTTTTGGGTGGTTTTACAGGGCAACTAAAAAGGATACCACCCATTTTTTTTGGGGGGGTTCCCCAACTTTGCCCAACGTGTTCTTGACTATGTCTGCAAACCACCAACCAAACGTTGCGCCATCGGCGCGAGCCAGGTGTGCAGAAGGTGTGCTGAAAAACCCAACCAGGTTTTAGTCCGTGTTTACATTTAGGGCAACCCGTGTTTGACCCATAGCCAAAGAATCAAGGCCAACGAATGCTGAAACAAAGATTGGTCAAATCACATCTGCATGTGAATCCCTCTAGCGCAATGTCAAACAAACGGCCATTGGTCAAAATCCCGTACCCCCAGTGAACATCCCAATCCCCACTAAAATAGACTAAAATGGATGGTGCACCTACAGTACCCCCAAATGGTACAATTGGTTTTGACCCACAGCCAAACAAACCATCACTCGCGTACAAAGCTACAACAACTTTATCTGCGGGCAAAATGCTTCAATGGTTTAAACGGTGCGGGCGCTCTAAACGTTGAAACAAACAAATGTCGATGCTTAAACGCAAAAAACTGAAGCAGATGGTTTACACACCCAAAATATGTTTAAACATGGTGGAGGTTTAAACCAGTTGAAGATGTTTAAATGTCCGCGAGCGTTTGAGAATAAAGGGAGCGTTCAAGAACTCAGCTGTGCCTTCTGGGGTCCACCCAAACACCCGGAAACAAGGTAGGTGGCCGGAAACCGTTGAAACACCCCAAACTGTTTAAACATGGGGCTGTTTAAACACCCAGGAGCCGGTTAAGCACCAAAAAACGCAGGACTGGAGGTTTCCAGATGTGTCAACTCCCAAAACAATTTGAATGTGGCTGTTTCGTTTGCCCTGGTCAACTCTGAATCATCACCATCACAAACGCCGAATTCATGAAGGGAATAAACAAGTTTGTGTTTGTCTGTTTGAGTTTTACACCTGGGTGTGGAGGCCACGCGCCAGAGACTGATCCAGTCAATCAACCAAGGCTAACCTCTCAGAAACGATAAGAAGCTTTATAAGAAGCTTTATAAGAAGCTTTATAAGAAGCTTTGTAAGAAGCTTTATAAGAAGCTTTATAAGAAGCTTTATAAGGAACTTTATAAGAAGCTTTATAAGAAGCTTTATAAGAAGCTTTATAAGAAGCTTTATAAGAAGCTTTAGGGTTTAGGGTTTAGGGTTTAAGGTTTAGGGTTTAGGGTTTAGGGTTTAGGGTTTCTTATAATGATTATGTTCAGGTAATACTGCTATTACTATGACAAGACCAAACTGATTAAGTAAGATGAACTAACTGAACTTAAGTGAACTAAGCTTTAGCGTCAGTGTTGGGCATGAGTGTTTGCTTTGTGCGTGTAAGCAAATGCTGGCGGCAAGAAGAGAGCGCTTGTGGACACTGGCTCAGGACCGCCTCCTGTCAAAGCCAGGCCAAAATCACCGCTAATCCCTCATCTATTTCTAACGGACATGACAAAAACCCTCCAGCAAAATCACGTAAGATGCGGCCTGGGGCTAAGTGAGCCAATGCTCGGCTATGGTGGCATTTCTGTGGAATGGGTGTGGTTCCTGTTTGTTGGCGGTACCATTTTTGGGTTGGTTTTAAAGGGGATCAAAAGGACAACCCACAATTAGGAGGGTCCATATCCCATTTGGAGACAAACACCAGTGGCTGTTGACCGTGTCCCTCTTTGATTTAACAGGGATCCCAAGTCTATAGGAATCATTTTCTCTCAACAGGTGCTCCCAACACCTTTAACGGGCAGGAAACACAAGTCACTTTTATGCATACACACCCAGGGGCCGCTTAACCCCCCCTAAAACGCAGGTAGGTGGCCGGACACCGGTTTAACACCCCAAAATGTTTAAACACAGGGGTTGTTGGATCACGCAGGAGCTGTCTAACCACCCAAACATGTTTCAGCAGGGGGCCGTGGGCTCTTTGAACAACCCGGAGCTGTTTAAGCCCCCCGCAGGTAGCCGGAAGTTTAAGAATGGGGGCTGTTTAAAAACCCAAGAGCCGTTTAATCACAAAAACATGCAGATAGGTGGCCGGAAACTGTTTCAACACCTGAGCAGTTGGGACTGATCAAACACCCAGGAGTCGTTTAAACACCCAAAAAGGCAGGCAGGTGGCCAGTTTGCTCAAGCATGCTGAGACTGGGACTAGCTCCTCCTTGCACAAAACACAGGACTACTTGAGAATGTTTCAACACCCAAACGTGTTTACAACATGAAGGGCTGGCCGAGCCTTGCTTCAACACGTGTTTATTCTGCAAAGTGAGTCTAAACGTGTTTAGACATGCTTATGTTTCAACGGGTTAAACAATAAACGTGTGTAGCCCGGCCCGGCCATCCCTTTTGGCAGGACACACCAGCAAAGGCAGCCAGGAAAAGATCAAACACACCCTGGCTGCTATCTATCCCTTTGGCTGTGGTACAGGTGCTACGCCAAATTCGAACACCTCTATGTGGTAGGCTCTCTGAACATCATGTTGTTGAGTAGATCCATTTGGGCGTGTCATTCAATGCGCCAACTCTTTTCTGGCTTCTTGCTATGAAACCAAACCAACAACCCAGCCATCGTTGGGCCCCTCGTTGCGACACATGTAAACTTGCGGGTCAAACAAAATGCGAGGCCCCCATTTTAGGTGAGTTCCTTGGTCTCCCTGCAGCCAAATTGAGGTTTTTCCAGGCCCTTGGAAACCGGACGGGGCCTCCTCAAAGCCTCCCAAACCGCCGAAGGCGAGCAGGAGGTGCCTTGGGAATAGCGGGGTGGGTGGGTGGGGGTTGGGTGTGGGGGGGTTTGGGGGGTTTGGGGGGTTTGGGGGTTTGGGGGTGGGGAGGGTTCGAAGATTGGGGTCCCCTCAAATGCTCGGTTTCTCTCTCCGCCCCGAACATGAGATATGTCCAACGACAAATGTCCTTCAAAACCAAGGGGCTTGTTGAAAACAAATGGATGCGGATTGACTTCAACTGCCAAACGGGGGTTGGATCCACCAATTTTGAGAACCTCACCAATGGAAAGGGGGGAGCCCCAGAATGTTTCCTGGTTGGGGGGGGGGTAGCTCACTCTGGCTTCCTAAAGCAGCCAGGGTTCGGCCCTTGCAATCATGTATCTGACGCTTCCAGGTTACGCGTCTGACGCGAGGTGGGTGTTTCGCACACCCAACTCCAAAGCATCAGGAGGAGAGCGCGGTGTCTCAAATTTGTGGATCAACTTCACACATCTAGCATACGCCAGGTGGATTCGACGTGGATAGGCAGCGTTGCCCAGTGGAAGCTGGGGCGCAATGGTCCGTCAAAACGACCTGCGGCCAAGATTTGTCCCAACATGGGGGACCTATCTTGAATTGGCAATTTGCGTTTGGTTTCCCTTGCAAACAAAGCAAAGAGGGCTCCCCACCAATAAAACAAACCCAGTTTTCAATCATTGTCCAAAGTCGGCTTGGGCCCGGGCCGATGATTCAAACCGCTGCTTCAAACATGGGAAAGCACTCTATGACCCTTACGTTAAGCCCGTTGCAAGTGTTTTTTTGTATTCTCATATGGGTGTGGCTCAGAATTAAACAGGAGGGGTTACGCAGGTTTTAGTCCATGTCTCCACTTACCAGGGTTCCATTTTGGTACCGGTTTTGTGAGCCACAGCCATATCAATGCCTGTGGTTCTTCCTTCGTTTCTTGGGTGCCCAATTCTGATCCCTCGCAAAGCGAGCTCGACCATTTTTTGTGTGAGCAAGACTTGCTCGGGTTGCAGCGAGGATGTTCCGGCGGCATTGCAAAAAAGTGGAATTGGTCCATCCCAACCACTGGCTGAGTGGCTAGGCCGACAAAAAGCAACCACACCTTGCATTTACCCTCCCTCCAACCATCATGGAACCTGACTGAGGGGTCCTGGAAGACCATTCTCCTTTGACATGGACCCTCTGGTGGGTTCCATGTTAGTACTAAAAGGGTCCAAGCCCAGAAAGTGACTAAAGTCCAGGATCTCAGGAGTGATGAGCTGCACAAACCTTTGCTTGAAACAACTACATAGGTAAGCAGCTGACCAAACACCATAGTTGCGTCTGCATCACCTTACACCCCGCAATACCCCCACAACTATCAACAAAATCTACTCACCAGCACCCTCCAAGGGCCCTTCGTACCTGCCCTTGTGTGGTTGCCATTTTAGGTACCAATTGACAACCCTTGGAGGGTGCAGCTGACCAAATAAAACATAGGTAAGCAGCTGACCAGACCGCAATACCCGCTACTCAACCAACAACATCTATCCACGCAACAAAAACCGCCCTAGTTTCCGGGTCCCATCCATAGGTCTCCTTTTAGGGGAAATAGATGGCCCTGGCAGATGATTAAACTAGGGCCATCCTTTGTTCTACCAAAACAACCAAAATGGACACCTATGGTCCCATCCCGCCGCTCCCGTCGACTCCTTGGAAGGTTCCGAGGCCCCGGGCTGAAACTTGGGCAGTCGCCCCAGGCCCAAGGCCTCGCCCCGCTCCGAGGTGCCGATGCTCAGGTCGTAGCTGCCGAAGGGGCACTCCTCGCGGCCGACTTTCCTTTTTGGGGCCGTGGAGCTTTCTTCAGATACCCGGCTTGGGGGTTGGTGTCAGGGGAAGGAAAAGGAAAATATATATATATATATATGGAAAAACACACACACAACTTTTGGGGGACCTTGGAAGGGAAAGAACCCTGACAGCTGCAATTTGTCTGTGATTCCGATCGTGATAATGATTGAGCGTTGGCATTGACGTTCCGCTTATAGTGCACAGCGCTAAACATTATCCAAGCTTCCGCGGACACTTGCGCATCGCGGGCCAAGAGGCTCCATCTGCGGACCTATTCTGTTCGAGTGGCAAGCTCTTCCCAGGACTGAGCTTCCCGGGACAGAGCTGGAGAGCGTTTTCTGCGGCAGGGCCACGCGAAACTGCCTGGTCCGCGGCACTGTGATCGTTGGCTTTCCGCTTGCGCGCCTGGCAAGATTTGCTGCGAGCATGGCACAGAAAGAAAAGTCAGCTGAAGTAAGTGAAGCTCCGCCTTTTGGCGCTCCATTTGGCTACCTGTGCTAATTGCTCGGGCACTTGCCTGCATACACGGGGCCACCCTTCCGCTTCCGCGATTCTTCCTCGAAATCTGACGGCTGTTTTGCCCCTCTTGGCCTGCTGGCCCTTCTAGGCATTAAACTTCTTCTCTGCTGCAACACCTTTTGCTTCTACTGTGATCGCTTCCCCGGTTTTGCACACACACAAGCTGAAACAGCTCACCATTCGCACCTCATCGAAGTGCGCACGCATGGTGCGCAAAAAGGCGGAGCATGTTTCCTGTCAGCTAGGCCTGAGGCTACACCAGACCCAAGGCCAACAGCTTGACACTGAAAAGTTCACATGCCCGGGGTCAGGATTCTGAACAGGAGCTGTCGGCGAAGGAGTTCATGAGTCGGAGGCAGGTTCGGCGGCCGAGAAGAAACCCTCCAAGCGATCGTTGCCTTCGGGCTGGTTTCAAAGGGTCCAAGCACCTCAGAAGGTACTTGGACCCCTTTTTGTTTACCCCCCAAACGCTACCCTCGTGAAGTACTTGGACCCCCTGGGCCCTGGGCAGGGAAATCTGGGGCGTAATGCTGGAGGAAACCAAGCATTCATTTGGGACGGAAGCCACGCAGCCGCAAGCCTACGCGACGCATGGGCTTTTGCTTCCGCGCGCGTGTGGTGCTTCCGCGGATTCCGCATATGCCAACAGTGGCGTTCTTGATGGGCTTATATGGGCTGGCTGGAGTTAATAAAGTAGCTATACTCGGCCTTTCGCGAAAGCAAACTTTGCGCCATGCTCCGCGGAAGCTTCCACAAGCTTCCGTGCTCCGCGCAAATCCTTCCGCCGAATCTCATTTTGACACCCCAAAACTATGTTTCTTCCTAGTCTCCATGACCCTAGAAAAGGGTCAGGGAGACTCCAGGTTCATAGAAACAAAATGATCGCTGCTCAATTGGTGGTTGCCAATCTTAGTGAGCTTCCTCTTTGGTGTGGTGATACTGTGTATGGACTTGGAAATCAGGGTAAACCATTGTTTGTTGGAATTTGCGTTGGGGAATCGATTTTTTCCAGGGTTTCTTAGGTGGTCAAACTGGATTTCACAACCATCCACAGTAATTATTTGAAGCCTAAATGTACGAGATCCCTCAGTCAAAATTGCCCTGTCGCTCACCTCTGGTCCGTTGAGCGGCACATGGATAAGCGCACGCCGCAAGACTGGCAACTGAGGGTAGTATTTCTCTCAGATTCTGAGTGGATTGGCCTGAAAAAAAACCTCTTTCCTGTGAACGACTGAAACACTCTTCCCAAAAAGGCTTAAAAATACAACTCGAGCAGTGGGTTCTACGTGTGCCCCTTCAAAAAAAACAACAAAAACAAAGACACATCCACAGGGAGGGGCCGGGATGTGTACCCTTCATGTTCTCCCAAAGTTATGGCTTGTTGCTCAGGCCCCCCCCCCCCCCCACCGCCCCTAGCAATCCGGCCCTCTCTAAATGTCCGAGTCCTCAAAGACGGCCTTCAGATTGCCAGCTAACCTGTCACATGCAACAGCTGGCAGCTGCAAAGTTACGCCCAACAAAACGCCTCTCCGCCAACTCTCCTCACCACAGTTACTCAATATTTTAGTTACTGTTGTTGTTGCTGCGCTGGCGGCGGTTGCGCTGGCGGTCCCAGCGCTGCTGGTGCTACTAGCACAACCTCCTCACATTGACGACCCTGATCCATTCGATGGGTCGGTAAACATTCTATTGATGCATAGGCATATCTATGCACCCGCATCAAACGGCACAAATGTATAATTATATGCGAACACGGACGACCGTGAATCTTACCACAGCCTTGTGGTGGCCGTAGCCACCCAAACCGTTAGGGCAGACCCACTTGGGTGGCTCGTCTTCGTTTGAGGCTCGGTAGCCCTCTTTTTGGTAAAGAAAAAAGGGAAAACCAACATGAAAACCGAAGCCATTTCTGGTGTCCAAGCTTCAAACAAGCCACACCTACCTGCCTAGTGATAGGAAAACACAATTTTGCACATTTGCTCGTCGGTAAGTGGGTAAATGGGTTTGCCCTGCTAGTTTGCTCGTCCTCCAAAACCAGCCAGCCACTTCGCTGATTTTGGAGGACCAGTGTCATGCTCCGTGCGGAGGGACGTGGCCAAGTTAGTACATGGTTAGACCTGGAATAGCAAGGGTAACTCTGCTGACGGGTTGTAACCTAGGCTACCAACAACTTGCTAACTTGGCCGAACACCCAAGTAGAATGGCAAGTCAAATCGCTTCTCCCGTGGATGACTTAGCCAGCCCTTGCAGCATGCATGGACCAATTTAAGAAGGCACACATCGAGTTTCAAAATTCACGGCTTCGGGCCAAATTGGCAACCATTAAAGCGGGCTTCCCATCCGCGTGAATTCATGACGTGAAAGCGATCGTTCTTGCTCACAACAAGTGCTGTCTGCTACACCGATCCTCAAGATGTGAACCTCTTCAAAGAGGCAGGGAACTGGCCATGGGTCAAAACCCCGTACCCCCAGTGAACATCCCAATCCCCATTAAAATAGGTTCTAAAATGGGTGGTGCACCTACCACAAAATGGGATCCCATTGGTTTGCACCCACAGCCAAATTGAGTTGGACTCGCCGCATCTGCGTGACTGGACCTCAGCTTGCGTCGGTCTGCACTTTTTTGCCAGGCCTGGTCTGGAAGCCCCAGTAGAGCCCCGCTTTGGTGCGCGGCTCCGAGGGTTCCACCGCCACGCCTGCGCTGACCGGACCAAACGGGAAGGCCCGTGACTGGGGTGACCGGACCGAGGGGAAGGCCCGCGCCCAGTTTGGACCCAGAAATGAAAAGGTGACCATAGGTGACCAGTGGTTTGGAGCCTGGACTAAAAAATGGACCAAGAAGGGGGAACTCAACGGTTTAGGTCTGCAGCATGTGTTTAACCATATCGAGCCTGGCTCCTTTGGAATCAAAAGAAGGTGGTTTAAACCAGCGGGGTTGGCGAGGTTGCGCTACTTGCGCATTGAGCGTGTCACGTTCTGGTTGGGGCCATGTTCTGGTTAACCAAGTTTGTCCATCATGTTCTGGTTAACCAAGTTCGTCCATCCCTGGTTCATGAGGCCTCCATCGTTTCGGAGTTGGAAACGGTATTTGTGGCCGGGCTCTACAGGCAATGCAACCATTGTTTCTTCGAGTTTGGGTCGTGAAGATTGTCTTGTCGCTGCATAACACACACACACATATATATATATAATATGTTGAGGTCCAAAGGCACAGAAGCAGGAAATCGACCAGTGTTGGGGTATCCCTATTTTGAGACACCTCCCTATATACGTATATATATATATATTAGACACACTTGAACCTTCTTGTGTGGAATCTGCCCTTAAAACTTCTAGTTGATAGGAACCCACAGTTCGACACGGCGCACAGAGGCGCGCTGGCGGTTCCTGCTATCTACTCCCTTCCTTCAAACGGGGCAAGGCAACAATAAAGGTACAGGAGAGTCTTGTGTAGCAAATCCCACCAAGACAAGCAGTGGCTGCCCTTGCAAAAAGCAGCAGCCCTTTTTGTGGCTTGCTCATTCTTACGTGATGGGACCGAGCTGAAAAGCAAAGGGGAACAGCGAGCTGACACTGAATGGCTTGCGAGAGAATGGTTCCCCTGCTTTTGTCTTTTGAGGTTTCTTTTGTGAAGGGAGTGGACAATTGGGATCGCTATGCAGAACGGGTTCTGCGGTATTAAATGTGCGGAGGTGACGGGATTCACCACTTCTGCCGGAAGGCCTTTGGCAGCGTTATTTTATGATGGGGAAACCGCCTGATGTTCTGATTTGGCAGGCGTGTGTGCGGTGCTGAGGATGCACGTGACATATTCTGTGGCACAGTCGCTGAACGAGCGATCTTTGCCACGAACCCCCACCCAAGACCCCGAATCACGATTCGTGCTGCGGGTCCTCACACAAATCGACACTTCTTACCAACAACAAGAAACCTCCTGCCTCGCCGGCTACTTGGACATGTTTCCTCCAAATCAGCTGGTAAATGCTCTCAACATAGCGCAGCATCCTTCTAGCAACCCCGAACCAGAACGAGTTTCCGGGGGGCGGTGTTCCTCCCCGCTTCTCCGGCTGCCTCGCGGCGTCGCACTGCTCTGCCCACGGCCGCCCCCACCCTGCCCACGGCCGCCCCCGGAGCCGCGACCGCCGCGGCCGCGGCCCTTGCCATCGCCGCCGGACTCCTCGTGAGGCGTTTGATCGCTCGAAGAAACTTGCCAGAGACGGCGCAGAATTAGTCATTTGCCAAAACAAGGTAGGCAGGTAGGCAGGCAGGCAGGCAGGCAAGCAAAGGAAGGCAGGCAGGTTGAGGTGTGTGCGTGTGCTCAAGTCCAGCAATGGCAACATGCCTGCCAGGCCAAGAGCACAGAAGGTGCAGCGTGTTTTCTTGTTGCTAGACGAAAATCGGCGTCCGCAATGTTGAAGCTGATTGAACAACTCAAGTGAGTTGAGCCCCTGGTTACTCCTTCCTGGAGCCCGAAACATCCGTTTTCAAACAGTCGCAAGAACATCCATCATCAGTTCCGGTCGTTTGCTGCAGTTCCGGCCGTTTGGCCTGATCACCATTTTCTGTATTTCGTGTTGGGCATATCCTTTTCAGCCTCGATTGACTTGCGTCTCTGCAAGACTGGCACCAACCCTGCCCGGCCAACCCGCAGGGTCTCAAGCGTGCCGCAGCAGTCTGAAATGCACTGATCCCTTATTATTTTTTAATAATTTAGTAACATTTAACTCAAAATGCTATTCCCATCAACTATTATTAAGCAGCACTATTACCAATTAATTATACTCTTCTAGGCTTTCATGCAAAAGGGAAAGGCATGGAGAAGGGGGCTGCGCGAACTGCACACTTTCAAGACCCTTCGGTTCCGCGGGCAGAGCCACATAGGTGTACCGCCAGCATCAGCAGCATGTGGGGTCGACGAACATTGTTTATCACCCCAAAGCCCTGACGAGAACACTATAGTTGAGCGGCTTTGCCAGTGGGTCAAATCACTCTTCCCTCACGCACCCAATGGGTGTCTTTCAGGTGGTTTCCCAAACAACCCTTTCCAATCTTTACAAAGGAGGCTTCTGCTGGTAAAAAGGAGTGGTCGCCCCAATGGCCCCATCCAAAAGGAACCGAAAACCCATCAATTCAGAAACAGTTGTTTGCACGGACGGTTCTGGTTGTTGCACGCACGGTTCTGGTTGTTGCACGCCTGGTTCTGGATGTTTGCTGGTTTTGTCCATCGCCAGTGAACGGAGGACAACGGGCCGAAAACGGGCCGAAAAACCGCCCTCCGAAAATCCAACGTTCCCCCCGCAAAAAAAAATCGAGGAGTCCGGCCGCCCAAAAGCAAGCCTTTTTTTAGGGTGCCCTTTCTTGTAATGAGGAAGGCTCTAAGCCAAGGCGAACACCATGAGTGGACAGAAATTTGCGTCTGCGTCGTTTCTTGTTTTGCTGCTTAGTTCCATGGGGAAAGGGACAGGTCTGTAAAGCAAGCCAGGCGCACTGGGCAAAGGCTGTGAAGAACACATGCAAGTGTCATAACTGTACTTAGCAGTGGCTTCTCGATTCTAGATTGTGCACATGAATGCTCACGGCCATTTCTGGTTCAGCCAACTGGAAAAATGGAAAGTAGACAGGCCTGGCAAAGTCAAGGCCGCGTAGGCTAGGGATTTCGAACCGGTTCCGGTCGTTTGCCTCAGAAGTGGTTTTTCGGCCCGCACTTGCTTTGAAACAGTCGTTCAAGGCCCCAGGTTGATGAGTAGCTGGTATATGAATTTGGGCTCAGTGATCTTGTCGCTTCCTGACTTGGCCGTCAAAGCAAGACAGCAGTCCTGGAAAAGCGTGTGAGCGGAACTGGCATTATCATCCACTAAAAAAACGCCTCATTTTGGCACGTTCCTGCTTGACAATCATAATCTTCATGTTTGTTGGTCCTCCTGCGACTAAGAGTCAACACGATTTCATACACACGCACTGTTGGAACCTAACTTGGAAGTGACTGAGCTGTGTGAATTTTGTTGAGCGACCGAGCGAGCGATCCAGGGAGGGGGGGAGGCAGGGGAGGAGAGGGGAGGGGAGGGGAGGGGAGGAAGTGGAGTGGAGTGGAGTGGAGCGGAGTGAAGTGGAGTGGAGCGGAGTGAAGTGGAGTGGCGTGGCGTGGCGTGAAGTGGGCTGGAGTGAAGAGTGCCGTGGAGTGGAGTGAGTTTGTGAGTGCGAGTGGGAGTGAAAGTGAGAGTGAGAGTGAGTGAGAGTGAGTGAGTGAGTCAGTCAGTCAGTCGGTGAGTGAGTCAGTGAGCGAGCGAGTGCGTGCGTTCGTGAGTGGGTGCGTGCGTGCGTGCTAGGTGCGCGCGCGAAAGTGTATGTGTGTGTGTGTGTGTGTGGGTGGGTGGGTGCGTGCGTGCGCGCGAAGGTGTGTGTGTGTGTGTGTGGGGGTGGGTGCGTGCGTGCGCGCGTGCGTGCGTGGGTGTGTGTGTGTGTGTGGGTGTGTGTGTGTGTGTGTCTCTCTGAGTGTGTGTGTGGGTGGGTGGGTGCGTGCGTGCGCGCGAAGGTGTATGTGTGTGTGTGTGTGTGGGTGGGTGCGTGCGTGCGCGCGTGCGTGCGTGTGTGTGTGTGTGTGTCTCTGTGTGTGTGTGTGGGTGTGTAAGTGCGTGCGCGCGAAGGTGTATGTGTGTGTGTGTGTGTGGGTGGGTGGGTGCGTGCGCGCGTGCGTGCGTGGGTGTGTTTGTGTGTCTCTCTCTCTCTCTCTCTCTCTCTCTCTCTGTGTGTGTGTGTGTGTTTGTGTGTGTGTTTGTGTTTGTGTGTGTGCTTGTGTGTGTTTGTGTGTGTGTTTGTGTGTTTGTGTGTGTGTGTGTGTTTGTGTGTGTGTGTGTGTGTGTGTGTGTGTCTGTGTTTGTGTGTGTGTGTGTTTGTGTGTGTGTGCCTGTGTGTCGGTGTGTCGGTGTGTCGGTCTGTGTGTGTGTGTGTGTTTGTTTGTTTGTTTGTTTGTTTGTTTGTTTGTTTGTTTGTTTGTTTGTGTGTTTGTGTGTGTGTGTTTGTGTGTTTGTGTGTTTGTGTGTTTGTGTGTTTGTGTGTGTGTGTGTGTGTGTTTGTGTGTGTGTGTGTGTTTGTGTGTGTGTGTGTCGGTGTGTGTGTGTGTGTGTGTGTGTGTGTGTGTGTGTGTGTGTGTGTGTGTGTTTGTTTGTGTGTTTGTTTGTGTGTTTGTGTGTTTGTGTGTGTGTGTGTGTTTGTGTGTTTGTGTGTTTGTGTGTTTGTGTGTGTGTGTGTGTGTCTGAGTGTGTGTTTCTGAGTGTGCGTGTATGATTGTGTGTGTGTGTCTGTGTGTGTGTGTACGTGTCTGTGTATGTACGTGTCGGTGTGTGTGGTTGTGTTTGTGTGTGTGTGTCTGAGTGTGTGATTCTGAGTGTGCGTCTAGTGTGTCTGTGTGTGTGTGTGTACGTGTCTGTGTGTGTACGTGTCTGTTCCTTGCGATCGTACCATATTCTGTGATTTCCCCTCCAAGGCGGCATACTCTGCACTTGCCTCTGTTTTGTGAATTCATTCAACATTCGTTGTGTATGGCACGGTTGACACATCCGCATCCACATCGACTGTAAAAAAGGCAAACAACAGGAAACAAACAAAACAACACCCTCCACCAAAAGGCAAGACTTGGCTGGTCAGGTCACTGTGCCCCACCGCCACGGCTGCGCACGGTGTTTGCGTATTTGACACGAGAAATCCTCGGTGAACTGGCTCTCGGACCCTGAGTTAACGCGTGCAGCAAATGCGGAAATACTACCAGGTATTTCACAAAACAAGTGCGCGTGGCTTTTTTTGCCGCAGCTTTTGGGGCTCGTTTTCAAGAAAAGCCAGTGGCAATTTAGCTCGAATGTGGTGTACTGTCAAACCAAATTGAGTCATGACCCTCGTGGCATTGCTTGGCCCCCTTGCCTAAGTCCCCTGCAAAAGATATAACATATTCCAGTAGTGAAATCGCCTCGCTTTAAAATCAAGAGGGGACACTAAAACAAACATATTTCAGCAAGTGGACAGCCCTTTTGGAGGTTCCCCTCGCACCCTCACACCCTGACCGCTTCATTCAACGGGTCTCGGCTTCGATCGTCCTCCAAGCGTACCGTGATGCGGAGGTCGCTGGGGATCTCCTTGCCTCGACTCAACTGGAACCTCCACTGGACCGATTCGAACCCTGTCTGCCCAGTGATAAATTCCCGGTAAAACCCACCGGGAAAATATAACACGCAGAGGGTCCCTTGGTATCTTCTAAGGAGGTACTTAGGCCCCTTTTTACCCCCCAAAAGCCATTCTCACGAGGTACTTGGACCCTCTGGGACACATGGGGATTTTGTTTGTTTACTCTTATCGTTTTGCAGGGTTTTTCAAGCAAGAAGCAAGGACCATTCAGGAACACGTCCCTTCATAATTCTTAGGCGCGGGGTTATTTCACAATCCCACATTACTTCGGCAAATGGAAGACATTCGAACAGGGTCCCATCCGCCGTCCTTTTCTTGCTGGTTCGATATGCAGGGAATGAGAAAATGATCCCGAGAAAACCACCATCCTGATTTGGCTTCCTAGGGAAATCCCCGAGTCCGGTGCATTCCCAACACCCGGACTCGGGGACTCGGTCGTTCCCTGAGCACCAGTAAGTCTTTTCTGACGAATGGCCCAAAAACAAGTGGTAGGGTCCTGGAGTTCGTCCAGGACACGCAACAGGGGTACCGTCCCATCCATGGAACCTGACAGAGGGGCTCCTGGCACGACTGAAAAGCTCCATGCGAGTGGACCGGCGGCTAACTCAGAACAAAGGAGCCATCCAATTGACGCCCCCCGCAACATACTGTGGATGGACGAAATCCATGTCGCACCACTTTGAAACCATGGTTGAAACCATTGTTTGTTGGTATTGGCAGGAGGAATCATCATTCTAGGGGTTCTTGGGTGGTGCGAAATGGCTTTCGTCCATCCACAGTACTGCAAATATTGAAAGGTTAAGAGCAGAACACTAGCGCAGAGGATCCAAGTACCTTCTAAGAAGGTACTTAGACCCCTTTTTACCCCCCTATCCTCAGGAGGTACTTGGATTTGCTGGAAACATCCAAACCAATTGCAAGTGTGGCAACCAGAAACCGGTGCAGCTTAAAACTTCCCAACCTCAGCGACTGCTGGTTAAGGGATTGTCCACCTCACTCCCGAGGTGCCCTCAGCTTGTAGCCCAAAAACATGGTTACTAGGCCCTCCAGTAGAGAGGTCAGAATAAGGGTGCCCATGTTTTGCAGATTTGTCTACTTTAGTAGGGGAACCCTCCCCCAAAAAAGGGGTTAAGAAGGGCATTACTGGGCAACCTAGGTTAGATGCCGGCAAAGGGAAGATGCTTATTTTCCTCCTACATCTTTGCCAGCGTATCATCCCCCCCTAACCTTTAACATGTTCATGCGAACCTTAAAATGCAACATGATGTCAGTTTTGGGTGTCTTTTTAGGCTGCCCAAGAGTTGTTGTTGGTGTTCCGCGTGATTTCCCTTTACAACCGAGCAACACGAGGTGCCAGCTCAACAAAAAAAAAGACGAGCCAAACGACGAACTTCTGGCCCCGGCCCTGCCTGCCACCCAGACCGGGTCGGAAAGGCCGCAGTTCACCCACACGCCTCAGCCCGACTCCGCTGGGCCCACGGTCGATCTCTGCCGTTGGTCCCTTTCACCCGCGGCTTCCATCTTTTGGGGTGGTAAAACTTCGAACCCCGGCGGAGGAAAATCGGAGTTTTTCCGACGCGAAGTTTGCAACCTCGCAAACTGTAGTTCCAAAGCCAACCTCGGCCACGCCAAGCGGATGTGAATAGAGGTCGATTGAAGCGCAAGAAAAGCCGCGATCAAATGAGGGGGCGACTCTAGTGTGCCCCCGCGTTGCACTCAAACAATGAACCCACCGTGGCGCATTCTGAAGCGTTCCGGTATTATCGGCCTTTCAACAAGGAGGCTGTATGCAATTAGCTGTCACTTCACGTTTAGAGATTCCTGTGCACCAATCGATGCAACTGGAATCTACCCAAGTGCGATCAACTCCAACGCGGCTAACAACCAAACAACTCTATTGGCGGCATGGATTGGCGGTTCGGAGGAGCAATGTCCCTGGAGTCTCCATGAACCTTTCAAAACGTTCAAAATAGGTCCATGCCCCCAGTGATTACGGTAATGACCAACCATCTTTTAAGGGTCATGGAGACTCTCGGTACTGGGATCCAGCCGGCACACCGAAAAAACGTCTCCAGCGACGCCTGCTGAACATCTGCCCAAGCGGCCCTTCTCGCCCTCCACCGGCGAGGGCCAGTCCTTCTGGTTGCGAAGGACCACTCCTCGCGCATGCGACCGATCTGGAAGACTTACTCCTAATACCCGCCTTTTCTAAGCCATGTTTTTGGAAAACCTGGGTTTTCCACGGTAAATACCTCCTTTTTTAGTAGAGGTTCGACATGATACCCTAAAAACAGCGGGTGTTTGGAGTAGGGGGTATGCTTCACCAAGGGCTTATGGAAGAAACTGTCCCTCATGATGAACCGCAGGCCCCAGTAGAAGGGTCGAAACAATTTGCTCAGATACGAGAAAGATGCGGCAAGGAACACCATTGCTTGTTTTACAATCGTTGGGAACGATTGCCTTTCCAGGGTTTGCCATCGTTTCAACGTGGCGAGTTGTGTAAAACGTGGCCTTCGAATCTGCCTACCAAGAGACCCAAAAACCTCTAAACATGTCATATCCCCAAGAACACGCGATGTTCCGAGAGGGCATGACAAATTCACAGGTGGTTGAGTCTTTGGTTCCCCATTAACTAGCACGACCCCAAAATAAGTATCGACAATCCGCACTCCTCAGACTATGGCGATGGCCACGTCTTCCATGGCCCAGTGATTCCAGTTACCTGAATAGGTAAAGTCTTGGTTGCCTACGTGGCGAAACGCCTGGGATCCACTGGGTGGCAGAAAGGTTTCAACAAGCGCGTTTAGTCCCATCCCAGGCATGGATCGGTCAGGTTTCCTTTCAACAAGGGGAAGAATGCACATGCGTGGCTCGTTTTTTGAGGGGGCCCACCAAAACGGCTGCGGCTTCTTTTTTGGCTTTTCATTAAGCCACCACCAAAGAGAGGGTGCCTGAAAAAAGAAAAGAAAAAGGCGAGCCACATCACCAGAAACCAACCAGTCTAGTCCCAAACTTGCGCCCCGGCGTCAATCTGGAAACTTTCTTGAGGGTCTTCCCCTTTGTCGGTGGCTTTGGAGGGAAGCCACGAGGAAAACCACTCGTTTTGGGGTCCCCTAAAAAAGACGCACACCCCAATACCTGGTTACCTACTGTAGTGGCTTGCTTGGATTGGTTCAAAAGGAAACCCAAAGGAACACCATCCAGTTAGCGGGTATCCTTTTTTGCAAGACAAATGAGACCATGAGCACCCCAACAAGCAACCACAAGGATGCATTGCCGTTCGTTGTTGGCCGGTCCTGGGCACCAGGGAAACCAATGCTTGTTGGTAGTTGCAGGCACATCATCATAGGGTTTCTTAGGTGCGGTCCATCCACCGTAGGTCTTCTTTGTGCAACGCTGGATCCACCTGAGATCCATGCACTAAGATCAAAGCGCCAACATCCGCAGCAGGTCTTCAATTTGTTTCAGCCTCTTTGAGTTTTTGGCTGCCAACTGGTCGAGTTGGGTCATTTGAGAACAGCCACTTGGGTCCTCTATCTTGGGCAACACCAAACAGGGCATCCCAAGAATTCCTCTCATGGCAGAGGATTAACTAAGCACTGGTTGTTTGGTTGATGGGAGTGCTTCTGGGGGAACGCCGCCCAAATCCGGCAGATGGAGTAATCCGCGCTCGATAGTGCTGGGTCCATTAAAGTGACATCCTCAAAACTATTCTTCAAGGGAAACCACCCCCAAAGAAATTTAAGACCCTCTTTCTGTGTTCACACAAATCAATGTTCACCCCGGATTCATAACCCCTCTGGATGAATAGAGAGGGGTTATCCTTTTCGCGGGGATTCAGACCACTTTTGAGGGAACAGCCCGTATCAATCGGACGGGTTGACTCCGTAAGGTCGTCTCCTTCTCGGTAGGGCATTCGCTCGTACTTCTTCATGTGGTGGGGCGCGTCCAGCGGCGCCAGCAAACCCACCCACTTCAGATCCTGACCCAAAACGAACTCGCGTCGGACCCTCGATTTTTTCGTGGAAGAAAGTTCCGTCACTCAGCTTCCCTCTGATTGGTGCTTGAGCTTCCTCCATTTGCTTAAGCTTTCCGGCACCAAATGCTGCCAGGGATAGATTCCCAATTCAAAACCTGACGAAACATAAACAATAGTCTCAAGTAAATCGAAGTCAAGCACAACAAATAAATATATTTAAACCAATAAACAATCGGCTGAAGCAATATTTGAGCAAATCGAAGCCTTGACAATCGGCTCCCAAAGGTCAATCGAGCAGCTCCCTGAAACACCCCTTTGCGACTCAGAGCTGCAAAGCACAGGTCTCTGCACGAAACCGGCTCTGCACTAGCAGACCCCTCAAGGCTTTCATGAAACCAACGTTTCCATCATGATGTGGGCAGGTGGCCCCCCAAATGGCTTCGAGTTGTTTTGCATTTGAGACCAACCAAAAGGGGGTTCCTTTGAAAAAGGCGAGCCACCCATGTCTTTTTACAAAGGGATGGCGGGTTGGGCTGCGCCCCATAGAGCACAAATGACATGCAAGCTCGCTTGCAGATAGGACACGTCCCAAACTTATATGTTGCACAAGGGAATACGCGAAATCAGCGGTGGTTTTTCCGTGGCGACAAAACATGCTCTCTTTTTTTCCGTTGAAGCACACATAATTTGCTTTGTTCCCGCCTGCTTTCGCATCGTCGTTTAACTTTTTAATTTTTGTTTTAATCACATTGCCTCCCTGGCAAACGCCGAAGGCCCGAGCAGTTCCCCACCTTGTGCATGGGCACCAGTGGCTTCCGCAAATACCTGCCCAACAAGCTGAAACGGGGGTCCTTTCTGGGTGGAAGACCTACCAGAAGCGCGGGGACTGGCCAGCTCAAATTGGAGGCTTGGAACGCCATCTTTGATATTCCAGTGGGGGCCAAATCCTGAGAAATCCGAGGGAAAGACCCTTTGGATTTGCCATATGAACACGGGACTGAAAGAGTTCCTTGGACCTAGCCTCAGCATGCCTACGCCCCAGCCTGTTGAACAACAAAAGCCACGAAGAAAAGGCAAAGTTGACTCAGTTGCCCACAGGACCCAGAAATGTAAGGTTCACGTTTTGGGGCGATGACTACACATGAAACAACAAGAAGAAACCAAGCTGGTCAGATCCAGTCGGGGATCCGCTTTATACAAGTGAGATAACCGGACACCACAAGCCCCCCTGCGAAATGCAGCCCCTCCAACATTTTGCCCCTCCGCAACCCCAAAAATCGAAAAAGCAAAAAAAGACGAGGACGTGCCCATGCCGACGGGGCCGAACCCCGGGGCCGACGGCCGACGGCCGACGGGGGGGGGTACTGGGGCATCTCCAAATACTGCAGGTTCCGGGCGAAGAAGGCCATTGCATTGGAGACGCCCTCCTGACCGACGCCGGAGGATCGGATCGAGGTCGGAGGCTTGTCGCCTCCGTTGGGGTTCAAAGATACTCGTCCCAGTGGATTTCCGTTGGGAACAAAGGGCATCCCTTTTTGGGTTGGTTGACTTTAAAGGGGAACCCTTGCCCAAAAACAAAGCAAAAAAGAAGCAACCCAGTGGTTACAACTGAAGATATGGGTCTATCTCAAAATAGGTGATGGCGGTCTTAGACCAACCAATGTTTTTGAGGGGGCGTTCCCAACTTTGAGACACACACAACGAAACCCGGGCATGCGAAACCCGCGACAATCACCCAGCCCCAACCAGAAATCGCGTATCTACTGTTCGGGTATCAACCTTGTTTGCCAACCAGACGTGGAGACAAGCCAAAAGACAGGGGCCGTAACTTCGATGGGCGTGAAGCCCCCCCCCCCCCAACGGGAAAAGAACACACACACACACAGCTGCACTCGCTCATTTCCGCCTGATCGCTCATTTCGGCGTCGGAGCGATCTTCAAAGATCACCACCTGACAATCGCCGGCCTTTGGTTTCTGCGGCTGGACGGTTTCTGAGGGTCAGTATTTTGACCGTGTCTGGGGGCTAAGTCTGAAAATGGGGCTGTTTCCCTGAAAGAACATGGAATTGGCGAGTTCCCTTTCACCTACTTGGGGGGTGCCCTTTTGATGCTAAAAGAACGGGGCCAGTCTGTTGAAGGGCTTCGAGTTGCGCAACTGATGGCTGTTTGACGCCTCATTGGCGAGTTGTCTGCAGCTTGGACCATCCTCAACCGCCTTAGCACATTCCCTGGGCAACACGGAAGGTGGCGCCAAATGAAAAGCTCATGTTCAAAAAGGAACCGACCCTTGCTACCTTTAAGACCTGATCTCACTACCTTTTTGAGCTTTTGTTTGTTCCGCTAAAACCTCTCCTGTCTGAACCCTTCTGGTCATAATGCTACCTGCCCTTTCAATCCATACAAAAGACCTATGGCACACAGGGTCTTAGGCAAAACCAACGGCTGCTTGAAGAAATGTTACTCAACCCTGGCTCATCCCCACGAGTTTCTGAGAGAATTCGAACTCTCAGTTGCCCAAAGGGCCCAGCATTGAAGGGTTAAGCTTTAGAGCCATGACGAAATAATATGGACCAAACTGGGAAAACCAAAAGGTCAATGCCTTGAAGGGGCGATGGGGTTCTGAGCCTGGTGAACTTAGAATTATCGCCATGGCTTTTGTGGGTGATTTCACCAGGCTGAACCATGAGCCTCACGTACCGAACCGATTGCCCCTTTACTAGGTCCTCCAGTAGAAAGATTAAAATAAGGTTATACCCTTTTTTCTGTAGTCTATTTTAGTAGGGGAACTTAACTACCCTCCCGTCTTCTGCTTGTTTTTTTCTTCGCCTCGTCCACGCCGTAGATGGTCAGTGCCCGGGCGATGTGCCCCACCAGCACGGCCTTGAGCTCGCCCCCCTGGGCATTGTCCTGGAAAAACCCGCTGAGTTGGTCCGCCAGTAGAGAGGTTGGAATAAGGGTACCAACTCTTTTTTTTCTGTAGTCTATTTTAGTTGGGGAACCCTCCCCCCTGTAGTCTATTTTAGTAGGGGAACCCTCTCAACCAAAAAAGGGGAGAGAAGGGCACCTGCCTGGGGGACCTAGGCTGATGAGGCGGAATCCCAACCCTTACTCTGTGCACGCTTCGAGAGGAAAATATGCGCTCGCGACCGCAGGAACAACAGCCATGCCATTCCATTTTTTCCGAACACCTGGAAGTGGATAGGAGGTCTCGTAAACATAAGGGTAGTCCTCCACAACCCTCCTGTCTACTTCCATGATCGTAGGGGATTGGGGCGGTTTTCGGGCTAGGATAGGCTCAGGGTATGCTTGGGGTCACAAATGTAGGGTTCCTAGGGTTCCTTTAGGGGCAACGACTTAAAACGGTTCGCGCGAGCATGCTGTCTGAAAGGAATTCTAACTGAGGGTATTCCAGTGGGTTAAACACGAAGCAAGCGATTGGTTCCAAAATGCTTAAGGCCGGGGTTTGGCCATGTTGAAACATGCGAACAGACACACGCACTGCAACAGCCTCTTGGTTCTTTCAGCTTACTTCCTGATTCGATTGGCCAAGAAAAGAAACCAACCTTTGATTAACATGTAGTCTTTTTCCACAAAGTGACTCTTCAGTCCGAAACGTGTTTTTCAGCACGCGAGTCCAAGGGAGAGCACGAGGCCGGTCCATGATGCTGGCCGGCAGTGCCACGGACAGCGTGAAGTGCCGCCCGGACTTCCGAGGCCTGCGATCGGGAGATCCGATGAGTCGAGACCCGGGCGTGCGACGGGAGATCGAACCGCGGACCAAGAAGGGGTACCCACCAAAAGAGGCGCCGCACGCCGCTGGTCCAAAGCCAACCTTTTCAGCTTTTGGCTTCCCTACCGTTAGTGAAGGTTCCTGAAGGTGATCACCAAAAAAGGGTACCCTCCCCAGTCATTTCAGCACATGGTTCCGACTTAAAGCCGGCGAGATGTGAGGCAAACAGGGTTCGTAAAAGACCCTTGGGCCGTGAGAAAAGGGCAACTCGAGGAAAGCTATAGGGAACATAAGGAAGCTAAGGGTAACTTGAGGAAGCCAAGGGGAACTTCCTTTTTTTCCCATCCTTGCGGGTGTATCGCCGGCAAGCAAAACGGAACTCACCATAGTTTGGACCCCGCATTTTGGGGAAACTACCGAGTTCTCACTGAGATCGGCGAGAAGGTGCGTGGGCCTCATGATATGGTGTGGACAGCACTGCGCATGCACGCAGCTTGACATACGGAGAGAGCGAGGCTAAGGCTAAGGTGCATTTCATTTGATTTTGCATCAAGTCCACACTACTGGGGATGGACAAAATCCTGCACCACTTGGAACCAATGGTAAACCGTTGTTCGATGGTATTTCAAGGGAAGCAAATCATTCCAGGGTTTGTTAGGTGGTGCAGGATTTCGTCCATCCACAGTATGACTTGCCGTGCGAAACAATGGGAACGCTTTGCTCGAGAAGTGTTCATAATACAACAAGACGACAAAAACACAAGCTCTATTGACTTGTATTTGGCAGTTGATCAATATTCCTGTTTCTGGAAAACGCAATCTTCGCGAGAAAAAAGTTTCTTTCGCGAATCTTTCGCGACTCCATCGCCAAGCCCTTTTGTTCGCCCTTTTGTTTGCAGCGTGCGCTCTGGAGCCATTGTGGCTGCTGCAGTTCTGCTTGCACACAGGAAAGCCGCAGCTCACCTGCGTGCAGTACGTAGTGTTAAGTGCAAGCAGTCACCGTCATTCGCCCTTGCCACTTGCGCTTGCCGGCGATGTGCGGAACCTTGCAACAAGCTCCCTGGACTTCGCCGGTCTTTCGCGGATCTTTCGCGAAACTTGCTCCAAAATAGCCCAGCCAACGCTATTGATTTGCGCCATTCCTAACACAGGCAAGGAATCAATAATGCAAGTGTAGGTGCTGCGTATCTCCCTCTACAAGGGAGCGGGGTCTGCAAATATGTAAGTGCACAGGCATGCCTCCAAAAATCCAACGCGGAATCTTTCGCGAAAAAATAAGTTTCTTTCGCGAACTCCATCGCCGATCTTTCGCGGAGGAATTTAAGCCAAGACGAATGGTCACCGAATACATAACTCCTTGCAAGGACCTTTTGATCAACCCCCATTTGCAGTCTAAGGAACCTACTTTGTCGGCTTGCATCCAGTGAAGCGGACTTTGAATTTAGAGATTCAAGCTCAGCACTGGTTCACACTTGTTTCATATGATCCCAACCCCCTCCTTAATCCTCCCTCCCCTGTTTAATAAGACCGTATTTGGAGGAACCACGGGAAGGGAGGTTAGGGTAGAGGCTGCGATCCTGTGAGTCCGAGAAAGTTCAAAGCTCACCAACAGCCAAGAATCACAAGGATGTGCACTGGGGTGTCCTCAGATCCCCTTCCAAGTTGAGTTTCAGTGGGTTAAATGCAAAACACCACTAAACCTACAAACTTAAGCAAGCGGATGGCTGGGAACCACCAAGGCAAGTGAGGATTTCAGGAACATATTCCCTACAGCCTCAAGCATGCTCTGCATCTGCCAAAGCATAAAATTGGAACAATGCTTCTTCACAACTACCACATTATTTTCCATTTGGACTGCCACAGCATCCACACTTTCTGTTTTTGGCACCTAGGTGGCTCTGGCTCAACAAATGGAACCCAAAACGGCCCGTTGGTAAATGGAACCAAAGACTAAAACCTCGCCATTCCATTTTGAGCCACACCCAGGTTGTTCCTCCAAATCCCCTTGCGAAAGTCAAATCCTGGGCCTCGCGTTGAATCTTCCCCTTCCCTCTTAGCCTTTGAACTCCGCGACTTTTGGCGTGCGACTGTTTTCTGGTACCACCAGGAGTCTGGGGAAGTTGCCCCAAAGAAGCCCCAAGTGACTTGCTTTTGCCGAAGTTTGCCAATGTTTAAATGTCGCAGACTTTCGCCGACTTTTTCGTCGATTTTCGCCGACTTCGGAAGCCAAAGCCGAGCGCCATTTCGCGTTGCTTGCGTTTTCCACTCGCACTCGCCGCTCGCCCCGGCCTCAGCATCTTGAGGGCCGAGGGCTTTGAAGTGCCTGGCACTTGGAACTCGAGAGATGCAGCGAATGACGTTGGAGACCATGGTCGTAGATAGCCAAGTTGCGATCGTTTGATTCAGTCACTGTTGCGATCGTTTTTTTGTTGGGTAAAGTGCATGGGAAAAAACCAGCTGGCGATCTAGGTGGTTGTAGATGGTGACCAATGAGCATGGTTGTAGATAGTTGTAGATGGTGACCATGGTCTTTGGAACCTATTCCCTGATTCCCTCTAAAAACTAAGAGGGAATAGGTTCCAAAGACTCCTTCGGCGCAGTTCTGGGTCAAATTGTTAAACCAACCGTAGGTGGTTTAATCGTCCATGTTTCCATTTACCAAGGGTCCATCTTGGGTACATATTTTTGACCCACAGCCAGTTGGAAGGACCCTGACAGAAACCATCCACCAGGACCTCCCGATGGCTGGCCAAGAACACGCAAATAACCCCCAAAACTGCCATGGGGAGGTCATTTCACAGACCATTTGCCAGCCAGGCGGTCCTGGCAACTGGTTTCCTTTTCAGGGGACCCCTCAAAATGCAGTCCATTGCAGTCCATCTCACATTCCCTAGTTCTCTCACCAGCAAGGGAAGCTTCGCGTATTTGCGATGCCATGGTTGCTGTTGACCAGGAGACTGATTTTTCAACTGGCCCAACAAATGCTCACAAAACCATGGGGTGAAATCTTGGAAACCATGTTCTGTGTTTGCTGTTACAACAAGCTTAAACTGTTTGTTGGTTCGATTCGGAAAGTCCCACCCTGGTTTAACCAAAAGCTAAAGTCCAAAGATCCAACCATCCAACCATCCAACCAAACCCCCCTACTTCCATTTGCTGAAAGCCCTGGAAAAAATATATTTCCAGTTGTGATAGATTCCCTCCAAAAACCAATAGGAAAAGCATATTCTTAAACAAATGGATGCACATAGAGTGGTACACAGTCAGAAACAAGTGGTAGCAGGTCGCTTTGTGGGATTTGCATGGGAAGCCCCGAGCACCTCATCTCCGCAGCCTTTGGAAGAAAAAAAACGCCTTCCCAGAAGGGCGCACGTCCGATCCTTCGTGGACTGGCCATGGTCCGAACCCAAGCAGTTGAAAGTCGCTCTTGGGGAGCGAGTGGTAAGGACTAACTCGGTTGCTTTCTGCTCCCCTGCTAAAAGTTTAACTTCTAGTGGTTTAATACGGAAAACCAATTGGTTGGCGCCAAGAGTTAACGTCCTAACATCCCTTGGCAACATGCACCAAAGCTAACGCTGGCTTCTCGTCTTCTTTTTGTCTCATGAGTAGAGTTGGGCCCAGTTACAGAATGTAAATGATATTGTTTGCTTCCACTTTGAGTCACTGGTAAAATGTACAATGTATCCTAAGTCTACCCCAGGTCTCAGCAACCCCAAACCGAACTTGGGTGCGCGCCTGTGGCGCCCGTTGCGGCAGCCTTTGGCGCCTCATCCCTCTGCTTCTTCTTCTTCTTCTTGGGCTCCTGGCCATTGGCTCGTTCAGCTGAACAACTGCCCCTTGTTTTCTGAGCTTGGACCGTTTTGGGCTGGGTCAAAGGCAGAACCAAAGGGGGCCATGCAGGGTCCAGGCAGCTTTAAAAACACACAATTTTTGGGGGCTCCCCACCTTGGAACGAAAGCGGACGGCCAAGGTGACAGGAATGTCTCAAACAGGTTGGGTTCCCACCTTGAAGCTGGCCGCTCGAAATTGGCCATTGGCGCGGGTTCCAATTTTGAGGAGCCCCTTTTTGCTCGGAACAGATCCAAAACGTCGCAGCCATCATTGATTGGTGCTTCGGCTACAAGGGACCAGGCAGAAGGCCGCACCTTGAGTCACAATCACAACCAATCAGTATTAACACGGTCTACCCAAATCCATGTAAGGAGATTAAAAAGCGGCCGAAAAAATGTATGGCTGAGACTGGGACTGCCGCTTACTAACCTTCATCTAACCGGGTTTTGATTGTGGCTCACTTCATCTTATTTTCGCCCATACTCAAGATGCGTATACGGTTCCTTAAAATATCCAGCCGCCTGCCCTTCAAGCTGGAGCGGCCACGTCTGGACATGCGACCATTGGGCGATTCGCTTCCTCAAAGTGTCTCTGCATTTCGGCCTGGCTACCTCGGTCCGAAAGGCCTCTGAAAGGCTCAACAAGGGACACACCCAAAAGGCTGTGGCTCGCTCAAAAAAGGCTGTGGCTCAAAAAATGGCACCCAACATTCTACCTGGGTATATGGGAGCCGCACCCAAGCACCCAAATGTGGTTGGCCAATCTTTCAGGGGGTTTCCGCGGCAAGAGTGCGGAGCAGCGGGCTCCGCGGGCTACGCCAAAACAACTCCTTTGGTTTCCCCTTCCAGCGCTTCCAGGCAAGCCACTAGAGTTGGCAACCAGCGGGGTCCCCATGTACCTAGAGGTCGCCATGCGGACCCAAGTTGTATGAAACAGCCCAAGAGGTGGCAACCCAAAGGCTCGGGAAACTTCGAAGCCCGTCCTGCGGAACGTCAAGCTCGGGCTTTCGCTTCTTCATGCTGCCAAAGGTTACCCGTCCAAAGGGCAACCCGCCCGCCCTCTACGGATTAATCCCTTGAGGAAACAACACGATGATTGTAAACTTTAGCATGCTTTGGGTCCTGGGCTCGAATCCTGTAAAAAGTGGCGGACCATATTCAAACTACTGGCTGTAGAATCCATTTGCTTCTTACGGACTTGTGTATCTCATATGTATGTAGGAAGGTAGGAGTGTAAATGCGTGAAGGCATCTAGGTAGGTATGTAGTATGGACTGGGTCCGGCCAAGAAAAGAACCGCGGCAATCTCAGAGAAAGATCAAGTGACCAGTTGGTATCCTCAAGTCTGGGCTCCCAAAAACAGGGTCCTTTTGGGCGATTTGGCCGAACGCTTAGGAGTGGATTCTATTCCTAACAGCTTTTGGTCACATGTAGCCATGGTTTAGCCAGGAATCCCACAGCCAGATCTCTCCATCCCGACATGAGACCGCTTGGGCTGAGCCGAATGCAGCTGGACGAACAACTGAGGACTGAGGCTTTGGGGTCCTGTGGTTCTTCTCTTCAAACCAAGCTGTTTATCAAAAAACACACACCCTGACAGTGCCACAGGATTAAGGGGCACTCACTGAGTATGAAAGGATTCGATGATTGTTTCGGATTTCGGATCCCAAAGACAACCCTGGACTGCTCTCCACATCTTCCTTGCAAACGGACCCCGTGCTTGTTCACCTCTGTTTCCCAAGCCCTGCTGGGCGTGTTGCTTGCCACAATCCCTTGCTGCCAGTCGATCCCAGTGGATTCGCGTTGGACAAAAGCGTATCTTTTTTGGGTAGCTGATGTAACGCGTGTTGGTAACCTTGGAGTTCATCTAAAGAGAACCCCCGCCCGAAAAGTCGAAAACGGGAATGGCGCCACTGGTGGTCTGCGCGGACTCTTCCCAAACTCCGCGCGCTTTCCCCAGAGCGCCAGCCACTTTGGGCTGTCCAAATCCGGGAGCTGCGTGGAGCGACTGCCTGACGTTTGAGGGCAAATGGGGGTAAATGTTCATACTTTCTCCAATATGGTCCAAACCCAGCAAGTGACCAAAGTCCAGGAGCTCAGGAAGCGAACATATTTTGGGTGGCTTTGCCAGCCAGCCAGCGAGCCACTTTCGGATATGGCCGTGTCTTTTCTGTAGGCCAATTTTTTGGGCGACCGCACCCTACCCTGAGCCTGAGCATACTCACTTCTTTGGTGGTTTGGAAGCCCTGCTTCTTGAAGCCAAATGGGAAGGCCCCCAGGCCTCCAAACCACCACTCCAATTCACCGGCTACTTTATCCGCTTGCGATGTTGCCATGGCATTAAAATCTTGGGTCCTGGAAATAAGTGCACTGAGCAAGGGGCCAGCGAGTTATGGCTGCATACAGCAGCACTTTGACTCAAAACGGTGGAGCCCCCAAATGTGGTGCGGTTTCCTTTTTGACTTCCCTGAAGACAACCTTGACACTTGCTTTGGAACCAGTGTGGCATGCCGAACCAATAGACATGGCCGCATGCGAGCATTTTCCGAGGCCATCGAATAAAGGACACCCAGTTGGGCATGAATCTTATGCCACCAAGCGGTCTTGAGGAATCGTATCCTTGGACAAGGTGAATCGGTGGCTTCTCATCTGGGGGAACACCAAAAACTGGACGCCCCTTTCAAAGTCTTCACTACCCTCAAACGAAAATTGACTGGGCAGTATCCGAACGAGTTTGACATCATTTCCATTTAAGGGTGGACGCAAATTGGGGAGCCGTTTTGACCGGGGAAACTCACTTCCTGAGTGGCTTACCCACACAAGTCCCAACTTGTTGCTTGCCAACAACGAGACTAAGTCCAAGAGCTCAGGAAGCGAGCAAAGGAAGCCCACCACCCAAGGAAGTGACCAAAGGAAGCCCACCCATTTTCCGGGCAGGGCCAGGCCTCCGACCCCGCCGCCGACCCCAAAAAAAAAACGGCGCCCGTCGCCTCCCTGAGCCGCGCCAAGAGCGGCGCCGCGGCCGCGCCATGGGCTCCGCAGGCGAGCAGCGCGGAGCCATGGATCTCGGCCGAGCTGGGGAGATGAAGCGGCTGGCTCGTGGGGTGCCGAAAAGCCCCCCCAAAAAATGGAAGCCATATTTAAAGCCCCAGAAAAACGAGTTGGTTGGAGGGTGCCCCAAAAAAACACTCACATACACTCACCATATTTGAAGGGAACAAAACCCAACCGAATTCCCAGCCAGGATTGAAGTCATCTCAAGGCTTCGGAGCACCCCTCACTCGCTTGGCCCCGGGGGCTGCGAGTACAAGTCGTGGAGAAACGGAAAGGGGAAGGTGTACTGCTGACACCAATTAATCAACCCGGCAGATAGATGGCTCAAAAAAAAACGGTTTATACCATCCACCCGAAAAAAAACCGTCGTACTTGTGCCATCTATCTGCCGGGTAGTGTCATCAACCCCAGGTTTAGGGGTTGCTTCTGCCTGGGTTTCATGGGGAATCATCAAAAACCGCCCCCTATTAATAGACTGAGGTTTATCAATATGTGGTCAACATTACCTTTGCTCGTGATCATCTGGTGATTGCCCAGTGGGTTGTCTCTAGCTCCGGTGGTTTTCCTTTGGACACAACGCCGGAATGCGTCCATTGGAATCGACACACACACGCACGCACAGACACACAGACAGAGACACAGACACACGCACACACACAGACACAGACCCAAACACATGGCCATGGGTCAGAATCCCTTACCCCCAGTGAACATCCCAATCCAACCACTAAAATAGGTTCTAACAGTGGTGGTGAGTTCACCTACCAACCAAAATGGGATCCCATTGGTTTTCACAACCACAGCCACATTTTGCGGCTCAAGTGCGTTGATGGCCCGAGCTTCCAGGGCTACACTTGTGCTGCTTGTGATTGCCGCTTCCGGAAACAACCGGAATCCAGCGGCAGACTCTTCACGAGAGAAGACCGCATGTTCCCTCATCAACTACGAGGAGCCAGAAATAATCCTGTTTTTCTACCAAACAACTTTCAAGAATATGTAGGCGACACCATAGTTCCCGACAAAGCTGGCACCGGGGGTTGTTTGCCCTGGCTTGGAGCCCGACCTCATGTGCCGGGTGCCAAATACAAAGTCTGGAAATAGCAACACTATAAACTTTAAAACCCCTCTTGGCTTCTTGGGGGAAACCATCACCTGTGTGCTATTTACCGGCCAAAACGCCTTGCGGCCACAAAAGGCGCGGGTTCCCCGCCAAGTTGCCAGGGGGTTGCCTGGAATGCTCAGCTCCTCAAAGGCTCGCGTGTGAGTTACCCGTTTGATTCCCGGCGAATCAAGGGAAACCCAACAGCGAGCCAAGAACTTATGATCCATTGGACCCATTACGAAGGATACCCGAACCATACTTGGCTCACAGCCTTCAGGAGTCGGACCCTAAACAAACAAAATGGTGGATGTCCTTTGCCACAAGAACAAGATTGGGGACCATTGACTGATACCCTCCCGGTCTCTGCCAGCAACTCAATGGATTACAAACAACTCACTTCAAGTGTGGGACACTGACAGCTACAAATAAATGTTGCCTGGGTATAGAAGGGACCAGTTGCCCTATGGGTGAGGCGTTGCATTCTCGAGCCAAGGCTTGCAGAGCAAACCATAGTGGTTCGACTCCACTCTGGTCCGTCTTATTTGTGAGGCTTGACGTGCTGCTTGGAATCTTGGAAGAATCAACATCACGTCCGAACTTTTTGGGAATGCCACGAAAATGGTGACCAAAACCAAAAAGCGACTCTTCGGTGGTTTTCGGGGTAAAGTGGATGAAACAAGGCAGCAACTGGCCATCCAGGCTCCGTGAAACTCAGCTTCCGCTCTTCCGTTTCTGGAAGCAAACCGGGCCTTGCAAAGTGCTGGCCTTAGGCCTCGTTTCAGTCGAACAGGATACCAGCTGAGAACACGCGACAGCCTTGCATCGTCAACCGATGGCCCAGTCCGCTTTCAGTATGGATGAATACCTATTCTTGAATCCTGCTCGGTGACCCCATGGATTCTAACAGATGGCTTCCTTTCGGCCTTTCGGACGCAACGCTGAATCGAACCTGGTACGAGCGCGAGACCCGCAAAAACCGCTGGCAAAGGTGCGCTTTGTTGGGATGCCCCATGTGCGAATTCTTAAGGAACCCTTCTGCCAGGTGACCATGCTGCCAGGTGAACATGTTAAGGAAGAAACACAGCCACCAAAAACCCCGCAACCATTTTTTGATGAGCCGCTCATTGCAACTCTGAATCTCAGTTCCTTGGCCGCCCTTGGAACCAATGTGCTTACAGTCATCATACGGAATCTAAGAAGAGGCCCTGTCTTGGTGGCTGATCTTAAAGGCCAACCCCTCCCGCAAAGAGCCTTAGACACGACTTGGGTGTCTCTCTTTCTGAGGGTACCCCTTTTTTGTGGTTTTTAAAGGGAAACCCCAAAAAAACAGTTGCGTCGGTTTAGGCTTTCCCTTTTTGTGTGGCGTTTAAAAAGAAACCAACCCAAAAAACGCGTTAAACAAAAAAAGAGAAAACGTTGCGCCGGTTTTGGGGCTAAACCAAAACCGCCTGCACCCCGTGTTGGGCTCGAGTCCTCCATGTGCCGCAGCAGCTCCAGCGCGTGTCGCCAGGCGCGGGCGGTGGCGCAGGCCTGCAGCGCGCAGCCGAAGCTCAGCACGTCCGGTGCCACGCGGGCAAAGGTCATCTCCTGCGTCAAGGGTATGCTGGTCTCATCCTCTCCTTTTTGGAATGGGTATCTGGGCTGCTCTCAGATGCCCTGCTAAATGTTTAACTTTTAGCGGGTTACATGGAAACTACCACTAAACCCTAAAAGGCTAAATGGCTGAGGGGATGGCTGAGGGACACCAATGTATTTTAATAGGTATATCAGGTAGGGATTAGGTCTTGAAGGGCTAGAAGGGCTATTATAATAAGGGTGGTATATTGGTCTCATCCTCTTTCAGAGATGACCTTGACGCATGTGGTCTCCGTCAAGGCGCCCTCAAGTTGTTTTACATTTACCCACCAGAACCAGGAAAGTGATGGGATCCTCAACTTGCTGGTGCGATCTCGGAGGGGAACGCAAAATGGAGCGACCCCCGATAAACACAATCCCTATATATTGTTTTTGGATTAGGCTTGAAGAGCTATTAGAATAAGGGTGGTATATTGGTCGCATTCTCGCTTTTTTGGGAGAGGGGTTCCCTCAGTTGTCCCCTTTTCTTGCTGGTGCGATAGGGAATGACTAAGTCCAGGCGTTGGGAATGAACCGGTTTGGGGATTCCTTTCAAGGAAATCAAGGGGAGGGTTTGTAATCGGACCCACCAAATTGGATTTGGATGGTTGTCCTCCTGGTTTCCCGCTTTAAAAACCATCACACAGGCCACAAAGGGGCACCCTCCAAAAGAGACGCACCCAGTTGGAAAATAACAATTGACCAGCAGGGCTAGATTCCTTTTAAAGCCAGCAGGGGAAAACAAACAAAATCCTTAAGCAAATGGACTTCCAACAGTCACAATTTTGCATACACCCGGCTCTCAGGATGGCAGAGGTAGCAGCAGTCAGGTAAAAACCGGACCTTCTGCTTGCACTCACTGTCTGGATTTCTGGAACCCACAAGGAAACTGATCAACCGTTGAAAGTGAAATCTAGTGAACCCAGTGAAGGGTGTTTTTTCTGTTGGTTTCCCGTTCTACAACCACCACAAAGGGGCACCCTCAAAAACAGGACAGACCGAACAGTCGCCAAACCATCGAGCTGGAAATATGAGATCAGCGAGAAGATACGACTGCGCGACAAGACACCGCCAAAAAATCATTGAGTGTCCACGATTTCATTCTTTCTGGTAGGTGATTTTGGGGATTGGTTTTGATCAATAGACTTCGGCTCTGTCCTATGCAAGGGCCAATGTGTTGTGTAATTGGCATATCGTTGCAAATTTCAATGGTCGAGACAATACCACCATATAAAATGGACGTCATAAGTGCCGTCCACCCAAGGGCCACTGATGAACATGCCGACCCTTTGCGCCTGTTCCTTGAAGGCACCCTTCCGGAGGATATCTTAAACCAACATCCAAGGGAAGATAACCATTTACTTGGTTGACGTTGGAAGGGGAGCAACAATTAAAATATAGCAGTTAAGCCACTAAACCACAATAAACCCGACATGTAACATGTTTCCCAACAACCACCATGTTTAGGTTAGGGAATCACACCCGTGGTTTCCCACTTCAACGTGCAGTTTACATGCCACGAACTGGACAACACACACACAAATCAAACAAGCCTTACGCAAGCCTTGCAAATAAATTCAGCATGCCGTATCAAGAAGCAACGTGGACCCCATCCCAACTGCTCCCCACCCCAATCTTCGCACGCGGATTTTTGTCCTCGAAGAGGATCAGAGCTCTTTGCCAGCCTGGGATCGTGGCATGGGGATTCATGGCACTTGCCGTGCGCGTCTCGCCTTTGGAACCCACGGACATCTGAACCTCGCAAGATAGTAGAGACACCCTGGGTCAAATGCTGCTGGAACCGCCGCTTGAACTGGGGCTGGGTGTTGCCAATCAAGGTTGACTGATTGCGAGTGGGGAAATAGTCGTGTTCCGAGCAAGCTTAACATCTTCGTGAAAGGTCCCTCTTTTCCTGGAGCACAAATATGCACAGTTTCCTTGCCAGCCTTATGGTTGCCCAGCTGGAAAACGTTTCCAACAGCAGGCAGAGCCGGCGGGGAGGGGGGGGGGGGGAACACTAGGACATACTGTGGATGGACGAAATCCTGCACCACCCAAGAAACCCTAGAATGAGTCGATTCCCCTGTAAATACCAACAAACAATGGTTTCCCGTATTTTCAAAGTTGTGCAGGATTTCGTCCATCCACAGTACGCAACCCTGTTTTACATGCATATCTGACGGCAATCGTGCTTCTCGCTCTTCACCCGGGCGAATGGAAATTCACGATGGGGCCTGGCAGGATTGCAGCTTGCCCTGATGGAATGTGCTTCTACCGTGGGTCCGCCAAAAACTGAAGACGTAGTGTGACAAAGATTCTTAGAAGGAAACCACTACAGTTCGCCACATTTAGGTGCACACACCAACAAAACAACAAATAGTCAGCTCATAGCCATGTGTTTGCGATCAGTTTCTGAATGCCAGGGACCCTAGCTAAATACTCATTCCAAAACCCGAAGACATCCCCTGTTCAGCTTATTTCTTATGTTTATGTCATTCGCAACCCTTGATGCCTTTGCGTGGCGGTTGACTTCCTGGATCTTCCTGGGATTCCCATTCCTCACGTGTCCTCCTGGGCTGACCAAACATCGGGAACTCACAGCCCGGCAAACAGCAAACCGCCGCCAAAGGTCTCTCGGACTTGAGCGCGCTCATGGCGCTATTGAAGCTGAAGATGTCAGGAACCAGTAGCTTTTCCTGCGAGCAAGCCAGGAAAAAGTATCGTGTGCGCCAAAAGCCCCAGGATGTGGGGTTATGATGATGGTTTTATGGGAACCTTAGCCTTGCTTCCGTTTCTGTAGGAACCTTTGCCTTGCTTCCATTTGCATGGAAGTGCCCAGGGGAAAAGCAATATGTCCAGCAGTGATAGATTCCCCTTAAAAGCCAACCGGGAAAACAACAATAATATATTCTTGAGCAAATGGATCATGCCTGCAATCCCAAGTAGGTCCTTTTGCCATGGACGTGGGTTCGGGACAACTGGAGGCCGCAGTCCAGGATTTTGGCAACTCTCTTCCGATCAAGTGGATGGCTAAACGAACCAAACTTTGTGTTTACGTCTTTTCAAGGTATAAAGTCCAGGAGCTCAGAGAGTGAGGCAACCCTGGGGCAACAGGAAGGATTCCTGCACCAGGAGTATTCAGAACCATAGTGTTCACCTCTGGTTTATATACAGCCACTGTCAAGTGCTGCTGGTGGATACCAAGAGTGTGACTAAGGACATCGTCCGTGGAGACATGTCACGCCAAACTCCGAGACCAACATGCAAACGAACACACACACACACACACAAGAGCCGCCACACATATACTTATGAGATGTTGGCTCATTGCGTGTGACTATATATTCATTGAATTGATAACACCTGCAAACAGCCCAAGTAGAACAAACTGTGTATGCAAGCTAACCAAGCGGCACCACACACAGGCACGCGATAACTCTTTTATCCGAGCAGTGTGTTGGTGCCAGGGACTCATCTTCCCCTGTCAGATGACAAAGGCTGGGTGGGCCCCATGGGCCACCCAACTCACAATCTCAAAAACTGAAGAACGGGTGTGCAGACTGATAGCGCCCGCCCCTGAGCCGGGGCCCGTGGCACCCAGGCCACAGGGGGGTCTGCCACCAGGGGAAGTGAGTCACCCACCGGCTCCGGTCACGGGAGCATGGGTGGGCCCACGCTGAGATCAAAAGCGTCTCCATTCAGGAGACGCGGGAGAAAAACAAACTCCTCGCAGAGTTCCTGCTTGGGGACCCTTTGCAAAGGGTCGAACCCAGAGAAATCTGGGTGCGTCAGCTCATCAGCCCATTGATTGAACTCACGGGGCACGTGGTTGGCCGCCAGCGAGCAGCCATGGGTGTGGAGCAGGAAGACCAGCTCCATCAGGATCGCCGCCGTGTAGGGCTTCTTGGATCCAAGGTTGAGCATCGCCATGACGTTGCCCTGATTGTCACTGCCCACCGGGAGTCGGACCCGGGAGGACAGAGGGCCTTGGTGCGTGAGGATCATGTTACAGAGGAAGAGCGTGCCCAGCATCTCCAGAGCTGCAATCCGCCGCTTTGGATCCCCATTCTTGAAGGCCCAAGGGTACTCCTCCACGTGGATCTGCTCGTGGAACCAGTACACCTCTTTCTTGTCCGGCTCTACTTTGTTGGAGCACCAACCTCCCACAAATGCCAGTCCGTCGTCCGAGGCGCTAGCATCGCTGCAACCCCACCAAGAGGACTTCGGCAAGTAAGGGGAGTACTGGACGAAAGGGGTGTTGAAGAGGAACCGCAGCATGAACGCCAGCATCCTGACCACCTTGGGGGGTTTCCCCACCGTGGTGGTGGCCATCTTCCAGGCCCAAAGTGGCTGGAGCATCGACTTCGCCAGCGGACATGCAGCCGTCGCCCATTGGATGCGACCCAGGGCCTTCTCGATGTCCTTTGAGTGCATCGCCTGCCCTTCCACCATGGTCTGCAAAACCTCCATAACCAGGATGTGTTTGTTGGCTGCCATGAGGACCTGCGGGATGTTCGGGTGGACCACGAAACCCAGCCACGTGTTAACCTCCGCCAAATGCGTCTTCTTCCAGCTAAGCGGGGTGCCCAAGGCCAGGAGTGTTGCCAACAGCGCCACCGCCAAGTTTACTGCCCCCTCGCTTCGAAGCAGCCACAGGAAGTCATCGACAAAGACAAAGTTCCAATCCACTTGAGGGAAAAGGGCGTAGAGGACCCTGAGCAGAAGGGCTGCCAGGCGTCCCCAGTAGGATTGGGCACTGGCCATGCCATATGTGCCTACCTTGTTCACCCACCATTCTTCCCCCAGTGAGGCCACTTGGAACCGCCAGTCCTTCCTGAGGACCTTCACTCTCCGGTGGGCCTTGGTGACGTCCGCCTTGAGCAGCACCCACCTGGTGCCCGGCTCCGGCCATAGCCAGCCCCCAGGTGGAGGTTTGACGACCCCCCTCTCGGGGCCAGGGGCACCCTGAGAGGGGGGTCCCTCCGCAGCTGCCGCATGTAGCCAATGAAGAGCTTGGACCCCATCCAGCACCGTCGGAGCCGTCGTCCTTTCCACCGTCTGGTTCCTGATGGTGTCATTGGCCCCACCCACCGAGCCATCGTAGATCGTGCGGATCTTGTCCCCCTCGTCGATGTGTGCTCGGGGGCCGGGACAAAGGTCCTCGATTTCGCAGCCACAGCGCGATGCTGCCTCCACCTTACTGAAGGGGCCTCGCTGAAGTGATCCGCCGAGGGGTAGTTACCCCTGCCCGTTGGGTTTCAGCTTTTTCTTGAGTGGCCAGATGCCCGGCGAGGTCAGGGGTGGGTCCGTGACCCCCAGTGGGACCCCTTGCTCCAGATCCCGGGGAAACTGGTGGTCGGGGTCCTGAATGTTCAGCGCCACGCTGTGCAAGATGTCCAGGAAGAAGGGTTGGCCGTCAGCTGGTCGGCCTGCCCCCGGCGCCAGAATCTCCCTAATGTCCTCCAGCAGGTCCTCTGGGAAGGGATGTGACCCATCCCCCAACGAGAGAGACTCCTGGAGCTTGTCCCCCCACGGCGAAGTGAGGACACAGATTTTGGCCCCCAGCGCTGCTGCTTTGGACAGTGGCCGGGTCCAAGGGGCCAACCGTCCCAATGAGGGCTTTCCTCCTCCGTCCCTTAAGGGACGCTGTTTGAAGGCCATCTGAAGGTACATGACCTTGTCGGAGAGATTGGGGTCGTGCGTGATCGGCAGGATGGTGGGCCGATCCGAGATCTCCATGCCATGGTGTGCCCATGGATCCGGGGAAAGAGTTCCCCCCCCAAGTTTATCCGCCTCGCCAGTCCTCTGTGTCGATGTCCGGACCTCCGGGTTGTCCGAGGCCGAAACCGGGAGTGAGCCCAAGGTTAGTCCTGCCAACGCTTGTTGGCCCGCCTTCAGCCTCCGGGACTGGCGCTTGTTGTCCCCCGGCGTAACCCATCTGCGGAACCGTTAGCTGACCTAGCCCCTTGTAGGCCAGCGAGGTCAGGTACATCTGTCGGAGCATGAGCACGCTGTCATTGTCCGTGTCCTCCATAACCCGGGGTTCCAAGCCCTCCAAGCCCCACAGGGTCTGCTCTGCTCTGCCCCTCACCGGCGGTGGGCCCCCCGGCTCCATCTGAGGATGCTCCACGTCCTGCAGTTGGGGCCGCCCCCCACCAAGGCGACCTTGCCCGCCATGGCCATGGAGCACATCGTAGAGTAAGGCTCCTCGCCCAGCATGTCCTGTCCAAGGTCTCCACCCTTTCGCCTGATATCCACCGCCCAAATGTACTCCGAAAAGGCCGGGTTGTAGGCATGAGGTAGGCATCCAGGGCCCCCGCATCATCCTTCCCCGCGTACAGCAGGATGAGGGACGGTTTTGACGACTCCGGAACCGGCCGTGGCGTCCACCTCAGTCTGAGCCTCAGTCTTTCCGGGATGTTCTGCATCCATGGGAAGGTGGGGCTTGCCCGCTAGGGATTCCGTGTGTCCTTTGTCTGACCCTCCCGTCATCTGTCCCTGGGCTGGCTGCTTGCCCTGGCGGTTCTTCCCGCCCTTGGCTCACCTCTGGGTCTCTCTGGGGGGTCTTCCCACTGCCTCGGTGGGTGCGGGGGAAAGGGATGCTTCCGCCCTTCTGGCTGGGACCGCTCCTCTTCCTCGGTGGAGGGGCTTCCGGGGCCGGTGGCACCCTGGAGAAGTCCCCTCCCATCTGAGGCCGTCCTGGCCTCCCCCGCTCTGTCTGCCTTTCGCTGTGGCTCTGGTGGGGTCGGCTCTCCCCCTCTGTGTGCACTCTCGCACTGGTGGCCTGTGGTCCCAACTGAGACCGCGAAGCCACGGGGCCTATGGCACCCTGAGTGGCCTCCTGTCACTTGGGAAGGTGAGGGCATGCCTGTGGCACATGCTTCGATGGGGGGGCATCGCAAACCCATCCATCCTTCCTGACCGGGCAGTTGTGGGATCGGCCGCATGATCTTGTTGTGGAGGTGATGATCTCTGCAGTACGCCACCCCTTTGGGATTCTTGAACGCCCAGTGGTCCGGCCATGGAACCGAGGGGGAGTTGGGGGACTTCCCCTTGCCGCCCTTGCCCTTTGGCTTAGACCGGGTCGGCCCCGAGGGCCAGGAGCCTTTCCCCCCCTTCTTGGGCTTCTCCCACTGAGTCTGCCACACCTTGGGTGCCTTGCCCTTGCTCTTCCCCTTCTCCGGCGCCCTGTTGAGGTGCTCATAGACCTCCCGTTGCCAGAAGAGGAAGTCGCCCCTGATATTCTTGAGGGCATCGGAGAGAGTGGTGCCCTGGTGCACCATCTCGTGGATCTTGCGCCATGCATTGCGCTCTGCAAACAGCAAGGTGGTGTCGCTCGGGGGAGGCTTCCTGCCGGCGATGTCTTCCCCATAGAACCAGGCATACCAATCATCCAGCTCCTCCTTGGTGACCTTCAGGTTGCCAAACTGTGGCAGTGCTGCCGTGCACATCAGGAGCGTCGTCCTGAAGGTTAGGTGCAACCGTTCCAGCTGGCGCCGGGATGTGGGGTGGCTCCTCACCTCTTCTTCATCCTCCCTGTCCCAGCCGTCCACCGTGATCTTCTTGTGGGTGGATGAGGGGCGTTCCCCCTCTTCCGGGAGCGCGCTCACGATGTGTTTTGCCGGGATGTAGCCCAGCTCACCCTTGGCAATCATGCGCCACTGCTTCTTGAGGTAGCCATCACTCCCTTGGAACT